CCTACCCTCCGGGGCCCCACTCGCACCCCGGGCTGCTCAGGGGGGGAGCGGGTGGGCTCGGGATCATGGGGCTGCCCCCTCTGCCAGCCCCTGGGGAGCCCTGCCCGTTGGCTCAGGAGGAAGTGATTGAGATCAACCGGGCAGGTGAGGAGGGGGCATGAGGGGCTGTGGGGGCACAGGCGGAGATGCGTGGGAGGAGGTGGAGAGGTTTTGAGGGGGGCAGGAGGCGGGTGCCGAGGTTCAGAGAGACGGGATGGTCAGCAACAGAGAGGGGAGAGAAAAGCGAATAGCAATTGCTGGGGCCAGAGAAGTGGCACAGAAGTAGACAACGATAGAGAGAGAGATTTCACGTGAAAGCCAGTTTTGGGGAGGAACAGACTTGCAGCCAAATATTCAGGGGGGCCCAGGGGGAGAGGGTCTCGTACATGAACCACAGGCTGGCCAGAGAGGAGACCAAGAGATGGTTTCAGCGTCTGAGCTTCCCGGAGGAGAGCCTGAGAAAATGGTCCAAAAGCCACCGAGTCTGAAACTAAGAGACTGTGTCTGAGAAGGGATGGGGGGCAGAGACGGAGGGAGCGGTGAGGGGTCGGCAGCAGAGAGTTCAGGCTGGAATGACAGCGAGACCAAGAGAGGAAGTAAGACTTAAAACTAAAAATGAAGAGTCAGAGGGTGTCTAGGGGGGACCGGCCGGAGGGTGGAAAGGCCACGTGATAGGACAGTGACTTGGGATCCAAGGCCCAGGCTCTGCAGAGAGGGTCTGGGAGAGTCAGAGAGATGCTGCCAAGAGGAAGAGGTGAGACCAGGGCGCTAGAGGAGTGGACTGTGCCTGTGCCTGTCCCTCCCCCAGGGGAGCTGCCTCCGAGGCAGTGACTGGGGTGTCAGTCTGGGAGGAGGGAGAGGCCTGGGGGCCCCACCCCCATGTCTTAAGTAGGTCAAGAAAGGGAGCTGGGCCGCCCGGCCCCCATCTTGCTCCCTCAGCCACTGACCCAGTTTCACACCAATTAAAAATAGCCCGAGTCAGAGCCTGGGGACCCCCACTCCCCCCTCCCTCATCTGTCACCTCCTTAACCCTTCCCCACTGTGTCCTTTCCAGCGCCCCAGCCATCTACCCCAACCCACACCCTACCCCAGTCCTGCCCGACCCAGTTCACCTGACCCAGCGACCCCCCCAACACTCTGTCCCAGCCCCCTTCCCAGCACCCAGCTTGCTTCCCAGTCCCCTCTTGCCCATGTCCTCCCCCACCCATCCCTCCAAATGCCCAGCACCCAACCCCAGCCTGCCCTTCCCAGCCCTGGCACCTGGCCTGGCTAGCACTTCCTAGCACTCAGCACCCTCCTCCACTCACCTTCATCCAACCCTGTCCCCTAACCACCTCTGCCTACCCTGTTGTCCTCAAAACGCAACACCCTTCCGCCCTGGCCAGTGTTGCCCTGTGGTTAGAGCACCAGCCTGTGCTTGGGTTCGGGGTCTCAGGTTCAATTCTCAGTCAAGGGCAGGTACTGGGGTTGCAGCTTGATCCCCTGTGTGCAGGAGGCAAGCAATTGGTATGTCTCTCTCACATCAATGTTTCTCTCTCTGTCTCTCCC